GCAACTGTCAATATTATTTAAGTTTGATAGAGTGTTGTTTTAAAAACCTCTTTGACGTTTGTGAAGTGTCAGAGAGAGTGAGTTATTCACAGATCACAAGTTTTTATATTCAAAGTTTTTTATTTTGATTTCGATCACGTTTCATACATGTAATATAAAAGTCGGACACAGGGATTTAATGTTGTATATATTTATTAATGATATACGAAAATATATATTTTCTAAAGTCCAGTCAATAATCTTTATTATAAATTTGTTGGAATTTATTTAAAAACAATCACATCGTTTAAAAACTGTTTGTATGAAATCAGCTTCATCCATTACATACATCATACAACATAAATTTCATACAATGTTGAAGATACTGGATATGATATTAAATTGTTATTTGAGTTTACCTTATATATAATTTAAATCTTAAGAAACGAATTCATCCGCTGTTGCTTACCACCAACAAAATTAAATTATAACGTCAGCTGTTATAGATAATATTGAAAACATCAAAGTTTTTAATATTATTAAACAAAATACGAAATATTTTGTCATCCGGCTTTAAGAGATCTCATGCTGCCACTGAATCGTAAACTAGAATAAATAACTTATATAAATTACATTGTTACTGGTCTTTTATAAAATTGTATTGAATACCAATTAACGAAGTCCATAAATGTGCTTGATTTTATTGTAACGGGATTCATTTAGGTCTAGTGATCCCTTGTACTACCATATAAATATCACACCTCTTAAAAATTTCCGGACCTTTTAATCAAATCTAAAGTACCCAAGGAAGACTTTCTACATTCCTGGATTCTAGAAGATTTTGTAGACGCAAAACCTGTTACACATTAACTGGATAGTGACAAGGAATAGTAGTGACAAAAAGTATTTTGGAGAAAGTTTTATTTTTATGCATAATTTTCTAAGCAGTGACGGGAAAATTTAGTATATAAGGGTGATTTCCTATCAATATTTTGAGGAGATTACTAGTTTTTTTTTATTTAAGAGCAGACACTTGCATATAGTTATGTGCTGTTGAATCATCTAATCTTATAATAAAATGATGAATACGAAAATATTTGCATGATGCATCGGTTTGTACAGATATTTAGAATGTATCCCTGACACTCCTATCTGACTATCTAGGACAGTTTAGTACATAAATTTTAAAGGGAATCGAAGGATTCGATTTTAATCAAAACGCATATGGAGTAATGCAGCAAAACAACAGAAAAATTTTACAATTAATTAAATTAAGTAAAAATTAAAGTTAAAATTTTAATGCTAAAAAATACCAAATAAAAATTGGATAAAATTTAAACCTCTTGTCTTCAAAATTTTTATTTTTATTTTGCAAAATTTTAATTTGTAAATATTTATTTGATTTTATTATATAATATATAAAAAGTTTTATGACTCGTACCATGACTTTTTCATCCAATTTGATCCTTTACAAGGTTCATTAAGAACAACAAAAGAGTCTTGGTTATCTGGACTGTACTTGCTCTTTGGACATTTAGTAATATACTTTGGATTTCCCTCGATAATTGTGGAATTTCCACGGCAGTTAGATGCATTTCTCAACACTGACGCACGTCTTCCGAATTGGGCTGCATTTTTTACACTCACCCCGACATTTTCAAAAAAGTTACTTTCGTTCGGCAGTTTGTGTCCATCTATTAGGGAAGTTTGACGACACCGATTACTACGTTTCTTTTGAATGTCTTTTCCTTCAATCGTTGAGGTCGTCGTATATTTTTTGGTTGCATATTTTGGTGGTATGTATTTCTTGGAGTTACCTGTAACAACTGCAGGCGTTCGCTCGCGTAACTGATAGTTGTAGTGTGCTCGCCTATATTCAGGTGTGAAAGTTATATCAGTTTTGAGGTCAATATCCTCACTGATTTGATGTTTAGGTGAGTTTGATTTATTTTTATACTTCGGTGAGTGCATTGAAGTCTTCGTTCCTACGGTAGTTATTGTATTCGAGATAGGCAGGCGAAAGGATGATGTTGGCTTTTTGGTGATTGGTCGGGAACGTGGAAAGTCTAAGTAGGTATTGCGGTATTCTGGATTAAATTCGATCTTTCCCTTGAGTCGTAAATATGGTTCACGACATTTACCACGTTCTGGTATGTCCTTTACCTGTGGATCTTGAAAACTTTCATGATATTCGGGCACGTCTTTAGTGAACTCTCCAAGTGGTCGCAAATGATCACCGGTTTTGAGTAGCTTTTCTTTGCAAATATTCTTAGGAGGGTTGCAATATTGTTCTCGATATTCAGGTTGACTTACATTGAAATCCACGTTTTTCATATCTTCGGCACCAGATACATTTAAGTTATCTATTTTTTTAATTGGTGCACTTTTTGAATAGTTTGCGTACATTTTGAAGCTGTCTTGATACTCTGGCACACCATAAAACTTACCGTGCATTTTAATATGAGTTATTTGTGGTATTGAATGGGCTTTTTCAATTGGATACTGTATATACTGTCTTTTATATTCTGATGGAGTAATTGTTCTTTTAGTTTGTTCTATATGTTGTTGGGGATAAAATTGTTGTTCATCTTCCACTGTACGTTCATTTTTATTTTCATTCTCAAAAGACTTATTGTCCTTCATTTTACTCATTTTATTTTGGGAGTGGTCAGTGTTAATTGAATGTTTAACAATAGGATCTGCTTCGATACGAAACATTTCTCGTGGCAATATTTTGGCAGTGCGATCTACCATAGGATAAGTTATGTAAGAAGAACGATGTTCAGGATCCATATTCGTCACTCCACCAACTTGTAAGTTTTCTGGCATACGTATGGGATAAGAGCGGCAACTAAAAATAATTTTTGTTTTAAATATATAAAACAATATATAAAGTATAAAGTATAAATTAATTTTAGTTTCGACAACACCAACCTTTGCCAATCTTCTGGCTTAAACCAGTGGTATTGCTCCTGGTGTTCTGACTTATGATGCATAAAACCTTCTAAATATAATGAAGTGGCACGTCTAGAAAGACCTGGTCGGTCTGTTAATTGGAAATGCTCAAAATTTTTTCTGTATTCTGTTTTAAGTGAACCGAACGAAATAGGTGGTTCGTCGATATTGAAAAGACAGATTCCACTTTTGGTGTGTAAGTCTGAACATTTTTAAACATATATGAGAAAAAAACATTTACTCTTATAAATATTCGTAATATTTGATATTAATAGTAGATATTAAATATTATTTTGATGTTTGTTTTAACGACATACCTGGCGGTCTTTTACGTCTGAAAAATTTTAAATCGTCCACAGAAATGTATTCAAATGGATGTTTAATAGCGAAACGGTTTTCGAATTTTTTTGTATCTAAATTTGTTGTAACATAAATTATGTCATATATATTTCATGGCTAATAATATAAAGAGTTTACCCCTTGTTAGATCTGGCTCCGAAACTGAACAATTCCAATCGAAACTGCCACTAAAATGTTTATTTAAAATATAAATATATTCACTAGAAACAGTTAAAAGTTATGTTCTTGAAAATTTCTGCATATAAGCTCTTCTGAAATTACTAGAATACAGAAACAAACTAAATAGCAATGGTCGCCTTGGCATTGCTCCTTGCCAGCGAAATATCAAGTAAATAATTTCTTTATTGTTGAAAAAAGGTCACCAGTGAAATAATTTTTCTTCCATTGCCAGGGAACATAAAAAGTTAATGGGATTTTTACAAATTCCTGAACAGTAAATACTCGCACAATCATGGATATAAACAGTAAATACATAATTGATGAGTAAAAATAATACATTAAAAATATAATGAAATTGGGACAGCATATAAAATTATTCATAGTTTTATAATATATCTCTTAAAACTAAGTTTTCATTCAAGCACTAATTAACTTACTTTTCAGAAACTCATATGGTCGCTTAAATAATAGAAACCTTTATGTCACGGCTACTCATAAAGCATTTTCTAGTCTTTTAGGAGAAATTAATTTGGTAATTTCTGATCTAAATATATTAGCTTAGAGTTAAGCTCAGTAGGTATTGGACTCTGGACCTCTTTATATGTTTTCAGTTTGTTGACCAAACTACTTTAAACCTTTAAGTCAGAGCTACTCATAAAGCTTTTTCTAGTCTTCTAGGAGAAATTACTTTGGTAAGCAAATATTCTTATCTAAATATATTAGCTTAGAGTTAAGCTCAGTAGGTATTGGACTCCAGACCTCCTTATATGTTTTCAGTTTGTTGACCAAAATAATACATTTATTTATATTTTTTTTTATAATTAAAACGTTAAAGATATTTTTAACATTTTTATTCAGTTATTTCTCATATATTCCATGAACCATGTATGGTAAGAGTAAGAATCTAACCTGATGACAATGCTCGGTCCCAAAGTAATATAAGTGCAGCCTTGAACTAAACTGAAAATACCTCAATTTATTTTTGCAAGTTGCATTATTCTCTCTCTGTCTTAAAGATTATAATCATTTAAACCTTTACAAATCTGACTTGAATTTTAATTGCTAACGAAGTTTGCGTGCCGCACTTTTCCTACCGTAATTGTATGCAAAATGGTTAAATGGCATTTCATTTGCTTAAGGAATGAAGTTCATTCCTACTAACATATGGCGACACACCCCATTATTTTTCTCGAAAAGTTTACTTTAAGCTTTGTTGTTGTTTATTTTGTTCTTTCACTAAGAGTTCACACAAATATAGCATCAAGGTCAGCAAACTAATCAGGAATATATTCTAATACTTTAGAAAAGTAAGGCACGTGACGTAGTGACCCAGTTAAGTACAACTGTTCCGAGCGGTAAGTGTGACATTTATGCTTTACTATGTTTCTATACTGCATGTCTAAAGTTGGTGAATATTTTGGTAAATATTTAATATAGTGCGAACATAAGTTAGGGGTGCTTCCCGAATTCTAGAAACAGGTTTAGTTTGTAGTTAGCTTTTTTTTAAGAGATTCATTAAATTTTTTTTTGTGCTTACAATTCTTTTGAGGTTTCTAGAAATGTCACAAAGATTATCATAGTAGTGGTCTATAAAAATCATCTATACTCTATATTATTAACCATTTCCTGTTTTAGTAGACATATAGTGTGTTATTATGAAATGTGAAATATGCCTAGCTCCAATCGTAAATATGTAAGGTGGATAATAATTTTTCAAAACATAACGATAAAAAAATTGATATTTTTCTAAAATCTATAAACTGTGTTCGACTCATCTATCTTTATATATTTTCCAAAAAATAGAACCGAATCAAAACTTCTTAAATTGTATCGGTTAATTAAATATTTACATATATTCATTCAAAATTCTTAACATAAAGCAGACATAGCTCGGTAATTGCGTATTGTGTAACGTCGTAAATTGATAGACGTGTTACATTCACATGTCCTTTATTCTTTTCGGTATAGTCGTAAAATTCAACTGACTTAAATAAAAGCAAAAAATTACAGATAAATTGAAGTTAAATAAAGTAAACTTTATTTAACTATTTATTTTTATTTATATTTCTTTATTCATTATTTTGATCAAACACTAATTTTTAAATTCAATAAAGTTTTGTGCAATACTTTATAATAATAAGAATCAGCTGATGTTTTACCGAATACAAAAAAAAAAAGTCCTTATGTCTCGGTAACATTGGAATTTTACAAAAATAAATAAACACAAATTCTCGCAACTTTTCCGAGAATATCCAAATATCTCAAATAAAAAATGTATTTATATAAATAAAATAGTATAGCATAGCGTATAGTATAGCGTTATATAGTATAGTATATAGCGTTATAAAAAAAGCACGGCAATAGTTTACTTGAATTATGAATATCAATTACGAAATAAACCTCTTCACTTAGTTTATGCAATCAGTCAATGCCAAACTTAGTGCAAATACATACAATGAATATACAATGAAAAAGTTCGTTATACTTTTAACTAAAGAATAATGAAAATATATTAGAAAAACTTTGTGTAATAGATAAATAGATAAAACGATAACTGACAGCTTATTGTTAAGCTAGCCATAAGTCATAGAAATCTATACTTAATTTTAAAACAGAAGTAATTTTATTGGCTTACAACTCTTTTGATACTATTATATACAAAATGGAACTAATTATTCATATACGAAATAAATAATATTCTCATACATATGTATATAAATAAATTATATTAGTTTTATTAATTATACAACATTCCTACCGTTTTTTATTATTCCAATTCACAGTCATATTTCCTTTTCAATACTTTTTAGATTATGTATAAAATAATGCTGACTTGCAGATCTTTAAATATGTTTTAAATAACTTAAATAAATTTATCTCGAAGACTCAAAGCATTCCGTTTCAAAGCGAAACTAAAATAATAATTCGAGTATAACATCAGTGTCTAGTCTAAGCCTTTATGTTGATCGACTGTAGCGTACACGATTTAAAAACACTTCGCGTAAAATTTATTAAAATTTGTACAATGAATTTACGACTGAATCGCGTCAGGTGTAAAACTGAACTAAATCCTAACGCGACACGAAGAGAAATGAGTGAGCTTGACATGAGAATATGTGCCTATTTAGATGTAGGTATATGTGGTCGAATAGTTGGCGTCATTTGTGAGTACACTCCTTTCATATATGCCTCGTATAAGTTTAATACTTAGTCAGGTGAAGCTTTAATAATTTAAGCCTTCAGTGCGCGCGCGCTTCTATGCTTCTATATTTCATATTTCTATTTGATATAGACAATCTATACTTCCACACAATTTTTCAAGATCTAAGGCAGCTTCAAAAAGCTGATTGAACCAATAACATCAACTTGAAAGGATTTTGATTGTTTTTTATGTTCTACTTATTTTACTCTTTACTACGTTTTTTGGGCGTTAGACAAAATTTTTAATTGGAAAATAAAATTTTATTTGTTATGCTTCTACAAACGGAATAGTATTGAAATTTAACAAGTAAAAATAAAAATATGATTAATTAATTTAATGATTCTACAGCTGGTTTATGATTTCGTTCTAATATAAACACAGCAAGTGAATTTATTAATGAACTTTCACAGCAAATTAACAAAACTCCAGAAAAAGGTGCGAACGTACAAGTCAAGTACGGTTTTGGGTCAGTTGGTTAAGGACACGCTGACTCTGAGCTTCAAATTTGGCAGGGCACAAAAAATTATTTACGAATAATTAAATACAAGAATTATTTCCATAATTATAAATTTGTAAAATAAAATTATTTATAAATAAATAGATAAAGTTCAATTACCCAAGATACAGATTTCGTTTAACTTCCTAATCTGAGCAACTGATGATAGTTTCCAATGGAGTTTTGACTGCTGATCTCAAGGTTGAAATTTGCTTTTGCCTAGGACGCCAAGTTTTAAAGATCACGCTCTAAATGATTTTATGCAGACGTTTTCTTATAATAGATCTAAGTGTGGAATTAGTTTTGATTTTACTATATATTACCTTGGAGAATTTTTATAGAGTTGGTTTAATAAATTAGAAGTAGAGTAAGAAATATATATACAACGGGTAAATAAAATCAGAAAAGTATTTCTTAGATTCTTAGTTAATTTATTGTTAAAACTGTGAACGACATTTAAGTTAGTTAAAAAAGTTGATAGAATTAATGGAATTAAAATTATGAACGATTAAATGTCGTTAGTCAAAAAAATTGATAGTATTCGGTAATTGTGTCATGCTGATACGTCGAAGTTTTTAAATATAACGATTTGTTTCATATTTCAATTATGAAATTCAAATTACTTTTATAAAGCTTTTAAAAACACACTTCATTTTAAATTTATTCAAGCACAAACTCTTCAAGTTACCTCCAAAACGAATTTATTATTCATTCTTCATTGGAATTAACCTAATTCGTTTCTACGTTTGCTGTTCTATCATTTTGAAGTCTTTACTATCATTCTCGGTCGGAGGCAACAAACTCCTCAGTTTTGCATTTCCGTTTGAGTTTATGTGTGCATGCACGTTAAAAGGTGCGCTCACAATTATTCCTTAAGAATTTCACTTATCTCACACGCAATGACCCCAAAAAACTTGAATTAAATTCAAATAAATGAATAAATGTTTTAAAATATAAAAAAATATTAAAACTGTAACTGTATGTGAAGGTATGGTATGTACAATGTGTTTTTAAAATAACATTACGAAATTTTGTCAGAAACGAAATAGTTCTGTAAATAAAATTTTATTGGTTTATTACATTCCTCTCACTCACTATTTCCAGTTATCGAGTTATTTACTTGTTGTTTCGAACCATCATTTTCTCTTGTTTTGTAATAAACACGCCATTCAGTTGATGCTCATAGTTTTCATGGGCATACGCAGTCGACCTGCTTTCAGGTCAAGGGTAAAATAATTCAGAGCCGGAAACCGTCGCTCGTTACACATTTATATGGTTCGAAATTGGAATACTTAATTATTATCAGAACATTCGTAAATAAATAAGTAATTGTGCAAATTAATTTATAGTTCTATACCACATTTCCTTAAACTCCGCTTTGATTGCAAATGAGGGTGATTGGCAGAGAAATAGTTGTGATTCCACTAACGACACTTGTTTCCTGTTGTTGTTGTTGTTGTTGTAACCCGCCAGTATCTGAAAAGCAGATAACATGTAAGGATTACAAGACGAATACATGGATTGGGATGTGAAAGGGTGGTGTTTGTAGGAGGAAAGGTGGGAAGGATAATAATTGAAATCAACCCGGGATCAGCCGCAGAAACCTAGAGTGAGTCCAAAGGTCAAGTGGACTACGAGTTGTGTACGTAGAGGAAACAGGAACAAGAGAACAGATGGCCGATGTCATGGGGGGTAGAGCTGCAGTTAGGGCAGACACACTTATTTCCTCGTTGGTTATGGTTTTTATTATAAAAGCTATTTCATATTTATTTTTAATTCAAAAATCAGGAATAAAAATATCAATAAAAATTTTATATTTTAGTTAAATATTCTTTAAAAATAAAATGAGTTCATGTGCACTTAATAAATACATATAAGAAACATAATTCAAACAGTTAAAAACATAATTGAGTAAACAAATATCTTTTCATTTTAAATTTCCACGTTTTTAGAAATTATTTAAATATCAAATTTTCGATAGACCTTCCCAACGATCGGGAACTGTGTAGAAATAACGATCCATAGCATCTGCAAAACGTTGTTTGTATTGTTCAGGTGGTATAACTGTAGGTAATTTTCCAGTGCTGCCGAGTGTCATTTTTTGTTTCACAAACGATTCGACTTTTTTGTCAAAAGTGTATGTGCGGATGTAATCTATTAAAGATAACTGATATGAGAACAAGTTTGTATACACAGTAATTGTTTTCAAATTTACCTATTATACCTAATACAAGTAACCCATTGTTGTTATCTAAACCGACTAAGAGTGAATAGTCCATTACATAATTCTTTCCCAAAAATGTGGAATCCCGATTAATGGCATCTTTCAGTACAGCTTTGCTATGTGAAAGCACATACAGAGGTTTTGACCAAGACACTGAAAGTATTATAAATATTAAGACTTATAGTTAAAAAATAGATCTAGATTTAATTTTGTTAAAATTTTAATACTATCCATAATATATGTATGTGGTTTAGTATAGCAACTACATATTCGAATTTACTTTCGTGACCTGAAGCAAATTGACTACAAAAATTGTTTTCTACGTCCTTAAACCGCAATATAACTTGTAAATTGTCCACTTGTACGAATTTACCTTATTTAAATTTTACCAAACCATGAGATTCTACGAATTGTCATTTTCAAGCTTATTAATAGAGTAAGCTTATATAGATTATTTTTTATATCTACGCTATATATTATTCGAAAACAATTCCTTAATTAATGAACTTCATATGCATCGAGGCACCAAAAATTTTGTTTAATATAGCAATTAGTTTTAAACTTCCTGGGTAGTGTAGCAACTAATAAACATAACGACAGACAACCTATATCGTCATACTACCCTTTCAATCGTGGAATGTTTAACGGTAGTGTTTAACAGTTCTTTGTCTACATACCCAAGTGAGGAAGAATCAACATTCATATCTAGATTGAATTGGGATGTCAATTTTATCAAAAATAAAAGTAATTTACTATTAGTAATAAGTACTAATTTACTATTAGTAATAAGTGTATATAAATAAATCTGAATATGAAACGTCACAAAGCCAAGAAAAGGTAACCATATTCATGATTTTAAAGGTAAAATTCTATATATTTATAAATATTTAAGTATTATTTATTATTCGATCTAATAAATAAAATTATTCGATCTACTAATAAATGTATAAAGAAACTAGTGGATGTAAAATGTTAATTTAAATTTTTAAATTTGATGAATCCCAAGCTAAATCATAATACTTGAACTCTTTGAAGCACTAATACATATTATAGGGTTTGTTCCTATATACTGCTCTCAAACCCGTTTCTTTTTTATTCTTACCACAAATTAGCAATTACAATAATAAAAGTTTTATTAGAGACATAATAGACTATGTAAAGTTTTTTTTAAAAATAAAATATACTACGTGGAATTACCACAAAAAAGGAAGGTTAAGGGTTTAGAACATAAATAAATATGAACATAAATAGTTATGTTTGTATATACATTTGTACATACATATAAAAACATTTTATGTATATATATTTAACTAAGGTACATTTATATATTTAAAGATTTGAACATTTAGATTACTTATTAATATCATACTAACTTTGCACAAAATTTTCATCAAGCAGCACAGTTTCTCCAGTTTTATTTGACGGATCCACCAATCGATTTCTTTCGGATCCTTTTAAATCAAACTTGCTTTTTATATCACAACCATAAAATAGGTTTTCCATTACGAGTAAAGTTTTCTCTTGATAGGAGCTTTAAATTTAAAATAATTAAGAATGAGAAAAAAAATAAATTAATTATTAATAATCCTTACTCCTTCTTCTTAACGCTAACTTTATAGACTCCAAAAATTTTAGCTAACAGCGTTGGATGATTTTGCTGTTGACACTTTGCTATGTATTCAAAATAATTTGGTGCAAAATTTTCGAAAATATTTATATCGGTTTTCGACATTTCCTTCAACACAAATCGGTCATCTTAAAAATGATAAATATCTCTTTACTATACTTTCAGTTATAAATTTTTAAAAATATACCTAAAGTTTTACAGAATTTGGATCCTGATTTACCGCCTCTTGCTTCCCACTGAACGCTACTGCATAAAGAACGTGCAAACGCGTTACGAGACAACTCTACTTCTGTTTGCAATAAGAATTTATCATCTTTGTTGGGGTTGGTATTTAGGCTCTTACATGCATCGCTTGGCTTTCGCACTAACTCTATTTCTGGTCCACTTCTACTCTGTGATACTTTCAGTTCCTCACGTTTTTTACTTTGTTCGAGTTCTTTATAAAGTGATTTTTCTAATTTTGGAACTTTAAACGTCTTCGCGCGCAACAAATCAAACTCCCTGGGAAAATATATTTTACAAGAAAATTGTGTGTTGTGCTCCTGAAATGTTATGTCTATTTCCGAATTATGCTTGGGATTCTTGCGTTCTTCATCATTGCAGTGTGATGAGCTATTTGAGTTTGTATGACTGTTATGCACTTTTGGTATATTTTCTTTCACATTTTCATCACGCTCTTGACAAATATACACTGATCCGCTGATTTTTAGAAATTAGACAACCAAAATATATATAGGTAATAATTAAAAACTTACAAATAATTCTTCTAATACAACTACATTACCTTTCTTGTGACTTTCTCTTAGTATTTGGACTTGATTGATTTCCTGTGCCACAATTTCCACCTGTTGCAATATTGGCCTCTGAGTCATTGTTTTCATATATCAAACCATTTGAATTGTTAATTAACCGTAGGTAATCAGAAGAAGTTAGGGAATATGCAATTACAGAACTTAAATCTTGTTCATGAACTAATATTGGAAACGCTCCTAAGGGTAATACATAATGTTCTTGAGAAGTAAATGGTGATTCCAAATTTGAAGCATGCGGTACTGAAGGCAATAGTTGACTTAAAATTTGTTTAATTGTTTTTTTATCAGAGGATGCCGTGGATATTGCCAACTGATCTACTAAATTTTTCTTGTCAACACTTGACTGATTAGCATTATTGTCTGCGTCGTTATTATCACCTAATTGTGATAATTTCTCACAGCCTATTTCAGTAGGAGGTATGCTGACATCAGGAATGGTTGGCGAAATATCTAATTGATTTGGTCGTAAATCTTCTGTGCAAATGGTGCTTGCATCTATATTCTGTTGTTTCGTCGCCGATTTTTGAGCAATTGTTATTTCTTGTAAACGTGGGTCCCATAAATCTATGCTTTCTGCCAATATGCGTTTTGACATAAGTAAAGAGTCATTAATATCGTGAGCATTAGCTTTGGGATCTGTAAGTAGTGTTTGTACAATCTCCACTTGTTGTTTGAATTTAAATTGATCCTTACTAAGCTCAGTTTTAAAGATTGCTACTAGTGGCGAATTTTCATCGTCAATAGCTAAGTCAGCAATGCGTTCGTGAATTCTGGTATATATTTCATGACCTTTCATTGAAAAACCTTTTATTTCTTCAAGCGTTTTAAAATGGTCAAAATTTCTTGGGTATGTTACATTCATTAATAGTGCAGGAAGTCCAATTTCCCAGGCTTCAATGGAAGTATACTGAAATTTTGCACATACTCCTCGATAGCTGAAGCAATGAATATAATCGCGATGAATAGAATGTTCACATTTGGGACTTAACTCCAAGTTTTCATTATTTGACTCTAGTGGTCGTTTTTTGTACGCGTGACCATGAAAACGCAACTCCAAATATTTCGCAAAAGATAGGTATTTAGTATTATCAGATAATGGAACATTTGGTGTTACTTCTTTACATTTTGTACACCAAGCAGAAAAATAAATACGATTTGGATCAGTTTTCATACTGTCTTCAGTAAGAAATACCTCTACAGATCCCATGGAATGTACATATCTATAATTTATATTCTTAATAATTTATTTAATAATTATTATTTGTTCTCAATTACCTTCTCACATGACCCAAATCAGGTAAGTTACAACGAGTACATATGGAAGAGAAATGAGAACAATAGCGCTCTAGAAATTGTCCCAACATTATGTCCTGCTGACCATAAAATTTCATATGAAGTAATATTGGAGGTGTACAAAAAGATGAAACAGCTTTGGGATTAAAATAGAACATACAAAAAAGCACAGGCAAGCGTTGATGATTTTGTAACTCCAAAGCATCTTTGTACACATGATCATCGCTAATTTTTTGCGGACATTGGTAAGATTCTCGACGTTTTAGTAACTTAAATTCTAGAAGATTGCTATTTTGTACTTTTTTCTTTTTTAAATAATATATGAATTATGAATTATAACTTACTTTTTTTCTTAATAGGATATCGACTTCCATTAGCTCGAAATTCTGCCAATAAAGTTTGTATTTTACGATTTTCTATTGGTGCTGTTATCTTCATTTCCAAAAACGGATGCGGTGGTTTTATTAGCGATTCATTACACATTTTGAAAGTTTCTGTGTTTTCCGTCAGATTAAAATTATTATTATTGCAGTTACTAGCACAGTTAGTTGACCACAGTTTTGAGAAATATAGTTCTGTTGGAAAGAGTGAACGTAATGAACAATTCCTACCTTGTTCAGTTTCAAGATACGGTAATGGAAAGGTAAGAAAAGGACTAACAGACAGGGTTGTTGAACTTAAACCATTGCGGAACCGATTATCGTAACGTGTTTCAACAGCTAGTTCACCAACCGAATTATCTGGTGAGGCTTTATCTGATATAATGGCCGTAGAACGTAAGGGATCAGTGAAATCCGAAACATTTTCTGTTACAACTGTAATTATTTTGTCTTCTGATTTTCGCTCTTTAATCTGTTTTGATATCCCAGAACGCAATTGTGGTTCATCATCTTTCATAATACAAGTGTTAGCATTTTCATCTTCTGGAGTTGGTTCTTTTGAATCGAAAATAGGTGGCTTGGGTGTCAAAGGCTGAGCATATTCATCAAGCAAAAATGACATTTCTAGACGCCAATTATATCTATTCCAATATAAATAAAGCACATATATATTCAACAAATCATTTAAAATATGAATTTAATTACCTCGCATAAACCAAAAATGAGGCGACCTTTTTTACTAACGCTAGTTCTTTGTTGTTGCCACCGCGTAGTAAGCAAGTATATCCACGTGGGCACTTTAATTTTTCAAAGAACATTAGAGTTTTACTTGTACCACTGCCATCACTATAACTATTTATGTAGAAGGCATCGCAAAGTCCCAACTTTGGTTTTGTTATATTTGATTCTATAGATGGAACTATATCACATTGCAGAGTTCGTGCCAAACGTTCCATTACTGAAAGTTTAACATCCAAAACCAAAGTAATATCTTTAGATCGTAATATATCTTGTGCAATGCCTGCCACATTTTTATGGACTAAAACTACATTTGGCTTAAAACTCATTATTCGTGCGCACATATTGCTAAGATATTCTTTTTCTTGCAATAATACTGTTGATATGCTAACAAACTTGCCCTCTATGCGCTCGTACACAATGGGGCATTGCAATAAAAGAATACGAGGTTGATCTACACGTGTAGCCATATCTTTATGTGCAACATTTTTAGAAAAAACGACTCCGCCAACAATTGTACATTCTTGTCTTTTACCTCCTGGTACTTTTTTAAAGTTAACATAATTCCGTATATCCATTAGATCGTTGCTACAGTATTCTGGTTTAAAATGATTTGCCGCACGACTACATAATGGTGTGAGTACCTCCATCCAACGTGAATCTAGTTTGTAAGTACGTAGCATTTGAGTTAGTAATTGCTCCTCATGATCGCAATAGGATTCTATTAGTTTTGATGTTGTTGTTGTTGAACGCATTGAGTTTTCCAGCTCCATATCCTGCACACCATGAAAACTTTGAGAAACGTCAATTGATTTTATTGGTCGTGGTTCAGTATTCACCTCAAAATGTGGACTAGAAGCACTTGATATGTCAGAAAATTCTCCAAATGGCGCTAGTTCACTTTTTTGTCTATTTAAATTAAATTTGTTTTAATTGAATGTGTTTTTATGTAAACAAAAGATAATAAACAAACCTTGTTGATGGTAAAAACTTATAATGAAGCTGTTCATCAAACTCCGATTGCTCAGAATCAGGTACAATAGGTTGAAGAAAGCCTGCTGCAAGCATAGCACTCAGTGTTGCAATTGACTGGCTTTTATTAGAAGATTTATTGTTAGATATTAAGAATTCAATTAAATCAGCACCACAGTTTTGTGCTGGAAGCAGCTGATACATTTCCTCATGTAATGTTATTAGCGAATTACACTGTTGTAGTATGTTTTTACGGTCGTCGAAGGAAAGAATATTTGCTTGATTTATAGCTAAACGCTCTTCTTGATAACCAAATGAAGCTTTGCGAATTGTACCGGAATTAGTTGCCGAAACATTTAAAGTGGAGCTTTCCTCTGCATCTTCTAACTTATTCGAAAGATTTTGCTGTAATGCTTGCAAGTCAGAATGCAAATCGACTGCTATATTAGGTGATTTTAAGTAACTAAGTACTATTTTAGAACAATAATTGCAAACTTTCAGTTCACCTGTAAGTTATGATTTAAACTGACTAATTACATAATACAATTGCAACACAACTAATTTACCTGAACATTTAATAATTTTTCCAGGTACTACTTGATTACAACACTTAGAACAGAAGATTTGCCCACATAATCTGCAGTGATGTTTACGACGAAAAGTGGAAAACTTTTGTGTACAATCATAACATTCCTTCGCCTTTGAATCTGGCATCCAAAAACGCTGCAAATCGGTGTCTTTATAATTACGTAAATCCTACAAATATTTCAATTTGGTTACAAAGGTTAATAAGATGCATAATATCACTTAATAACTTACACTATTTTTTGAAGCAACTATATTACTTATTCGCTTTAAAACATTTACATAGGAACGACCTTCGTTTGATTCAATGGGCAACTCGCTTATTTTGGCAGCGCAATCATCAGTATTGCTACTACTGGCTGCAGAACTTGTACTGGGATCATTACTAACTTGCGAAGAAAGTTTTTTGGAAGTTCGTGGTATTGTTGTATTCGAAGATGTAGTTACAGAAACGGGATTCTGGTTTGGTAAATTTGTAGTTTCTGTATTTGCAGCATTCGAGTCCGCATAGAAAACAGACTTAGAGACTTGTACTGGTGTTGAGATTGGAGCTTCGTTAACAGTATTATAGCTTTGATTATATGCATTTTGTATTTTATTTACAAACCGCCCGAAAATCGTTTCAGGTTCATCTTCAAAGTCTCGAGCAAATTCTGTGAGTTTCGTGGGGGAATGTAGGTGTTGATTCATTTTAATTTTAATTGTTATTTTTATTTTTATGATTTTTTGAATTATACAATTAATTTAAATAGTTGTGAGATTTAATTGATCACATAATGAAGACTCTGGTGCCAAAGTTCCTAAGGCCAAATCGGTCCATTTTTGTTCCTTCAATAAGACAATAAAAATTAAGGCATTTAGCATGTAATGGCACACAAATGCAATATTTAATACCTGTTCACTTAAAGTTAAATGCGAATCACCACCATCTGCTTCTGGGTCAGGTAACTTTTCAGCTGGTACAATAATTTGATCGAAGGGTAATTCTTCTTCACGCCACTTATTATCAACTATGTCCAATAAGTAACCATCTGCTGGTGCCTGCAAAGAAACGAAAAAAAAAAAAAATGACACAAATTTGATTAAAACACTTTATTAAAATTTTAAAATTAAACTATAAATATATTTAACACAATTTTACAATATATTATCTTATTAAAATAGAACAAATAAAAAAAAATTTACAATGATGATGAAAATGTTTTTTTTTATTATAGAATAAATTAATTAATCAAATATCAAACTTATTTAAAGTTTATAAACGAAATTTAGATGTTTTCCTTTATAGGTATTTTGTATTTAAATATGGAAAGACCTGTAAGCTTTGATTAGAACTGAACATTGAATATCCAACTTATATTATGTATGTAGGAATACTATATGTATATATGTAGGATTAAAATGAATTGTTTATTTAAATAAAAAATTGAAGTCATCTATACATTCGGCCTTTGTATATTATTTTGATTGTTGTTTTCAAAATACGAAAACAAATTCCTCATTATTTCAAATAAATAGAAGAAATAATAATAATTTGACTTAAATTTACATAAACTTAATTGAATATCTTGCAGTATTTCCATATCTTTTTTTATTTTAATTACTTCAACTAAGTAAAATTTGCGCAATACATCATTTTAGGAGAATAATTCAATATTTCAGTATACTGACAAAATATGATATAAAAATAATGGATTTCTTTTTAATAATGTAAGGGTCTCAAAATACAAATTGTAATATTTTGAGACAAATCTTAATATTTTCAAAATTATATTTTAGATCAGACTTTCTTTCTGCATTTCTATTCTCAGTGCTTCGAAATAAGGTAGGGATTATGCTTTAAATTCAATAAATATTTGCAGAAGAAAAATAAGTGGTCGGCGTAGATTTGTCCAAATGTGTTTCTTGACTAAGAAATTTTTAGAATCTGTCTCATGTACTAGAGTTTTTTTTACACTCAATATTGTGAAAGTAAAATTTTAATAAGAGATTCACATTTTTCTAATGTTTTCAAAAATAAGCTGATAGAGATAATTTTTATTTTGACGTCACAAAGTGTTAATGATGCAAATAAATTTTATATTTTACTAATTGCCTATGTAAGTAATGTGAGAATTAGTTTCTCTGTTTACCTTTGTTCCCCTTTTGACATACTTAAAAAAGTTTTTTTTTTTTTTTTTTTTTAACTACGTTATTGCTAGAGAAAACTATAAAAATGTGATTTTTTTATCGTCAACAATATTTTGTCATATTTCTATTATTAAATCAGTACTAATATTTTCTATCTTTTATCTAAAGGCATGCAAATTATTATTAAAAATAAGTTCCAAGCATGCAAACGATAAGATAGGTAGATATATAAATTTAAGTATTGATATTGGTTTTACAAAATAAACTCATTCTCAAATCATTTCTTAATATATAAAAATTATAAGCCTAATAAATAGTCTGATTTACTACGATTACGTTTTTAGATATTTAATTAAACCAATTAATCTTTTATTACTAGCGAAACTAAATATCTAATCGGTGGTAAATTACCTGACTGTCCATTACTTCCAAAATGAATAAACTAAGATTTTTCACAAAGTGCGTTTATGTGGTGAGCTTACAATATTTTTTTAATATGTGCTTTTCTATTTATTCCATTAAAAATGTTTTGATTACCTCACTGCCAAATTACGTTTACGAATTAATCACTTTAATGCCCAAACCGATTATGTTAAATTTTACTTCACAGCTGTTCAAAGCGATTGTTTTGCCTAGTTCAGAAAGTGTTCGATTTCGAACTTCGAATATCTTTCGCACAGTGTTGTAAAACAGATATTGATAGTTTTACATCTAGTTTCGATTTAACAATGAAGTATATAACTCGACTTCTACAGTGGCTAAACTTTAGCAAGATATTAGAGACAATATTTCTAAATTGGTTAAACTTTAGAAGGATTTTAAAGTTGCTTTTGTTTTTTCAGAATTTTAACTTTTATTTCGATCATTGTTTTTAGTATATTTCTATACCTATTTCGACAAATTCGCTTTTGCCTTCATCAGGAGAACTCCTTATATTAAAAACATTTATGGAATTTACAAACAATTTATACTTATTACAGTTATTATTTATTTTAAAAGATGTTTGTTTATACTCTAACCGCTTGATTAAAACACAAAATTTTATTTGCAGGCAATTTCGAAAATAATTCGAATTTTGGTATTATTTTATACTAAATGAAGTATTTTGGTTTTTATTATAAACAACTGTTGGTTAGTTTCTTAATACTAATTATAACACTAAAGGCCGTTTTAAATTCACCACGTAAGTTTCAATACTTAAGTCGTGCTTAAGTCATGAACATTGCTGACCTAATTCAGTTTGGAAACTGAAGTTACAATTGTGAAAACTGTTTCAAGAAGATTCAACATATACAAACGAAGCTTAATGAAATCAAATGACCATATGACCAACAGATAGGCTGTTGGTGATGATATTAATTTGATTATTTTGCTATGCCTATACTTTGTGATCTTTTTGTCGAGATTTTGCTTGAAATGGTGATTATATATCCAAAAAAACCTGTCAATATCTCTATATCGTAAATTATTTTACAATGTCAAAAAAATGGTAAATAAGTTAAATACTATTTAATTACAAACATTGTCAATAGTCCAAATATATTTGTATTATAAGACTAATTATTTATTTATTATATAGAAGATTCTATTTGCGATGTTAGAGCCTTATCTAGGGGTTTTGTGTAATTTGGTTTGATCAGATCCATAAAATATGCACTTTCGGTAAATATAAAATATAATATATTTTATATTAATCAATTTTAAATAAAGATTTTATAACTAAATAATTTAGAACTCATTTGTGAACCACAGGAAACCTGGATATAGTATAGTCGGCGCTATAAAATTGTAAAATTTCGTTTTAAAAATATATTTTTTTAATATAATGTAAATTTATTATTATTATTTTTTGGTCTTTGATATTTCTCAATCAGATTGCGTGAACATACAATTACATATACCGTAGAACATGCAATATTGGAGGCCATCCTTTAACACCATGATAATTTGTTTCTGAACAATACTAAAATTTAAAATATTTGTTTTTAAATGCTCTACAACCTCTAGCATCAATCAAATCGTATATGTGCTATATATAATTTTGTACATACTCATCAAAAAAATGCCATTAATCAAACACCAAATATTTTATTGACAAAATTCGTGATTACAATAGTTTTTAAATTACATTCTTTAAATTGCAATAAAATTACGGATACTGTTCATGTTTTTAAATCACTATAATTTAAACTTTACATACGACGTATAATGTCAATGAACATAACCTATTCAGAGTATATGAGTTTAGGCCGTGTGTGAGTTTGAGTAAATTGATGCTAAATTGAGAGAATTAGTAAATTATGTTGGTATTTACAAGAATTTCGAGTAGGGTAAATAAGATAAATATTAGATAAAATAGATATTATCATAATGAAAATTTTATAAGATGTTTAATAAATAAATTTAAAAACTTTCAACAGAAAAATAATAAATAAGTGTAAACAACTGCAGTGCAAAAAATCGCTAGGAAATTAATTTTAATTCAATTTGTTCGAACTCGCACACGGCATTAATTACTGAATACATGAACTGATAATTATATATAATTCAATTTATAATAGAATAAAAAAGAAAAATAAAAAAATAGACTTTGCAAATTGTAATATATTACAATATTTATATTACTTTAATAAATAACAATATAATTGTTATTAATTTATAATTTATAAATTAATAACAATTTAAATAAAACTTATAATTTAATTTATAATAGAATAAAAAAAAAAAATAAAAAAATAGGCTTTGCAAATTGTAATATATTACATCACATAATTCTGTTACTTAAATTAATAACAATATAGTAGATTGTTAATATAAATCAAGCTTATATAAATTTAAGCACAGGTGATCTGCTTAAACATATATTAGTCGGTAATGCAGTGCTGTGGCGTGTTTGTAAAGTTTCTAAAGATATAACTGCCATACAAACTCTACACTAGGTGGCACTACAAACAATAGAAAAACAAATGATTTAAACGAAACAGTCTTGAAAAATAAAGCGTAGGTTACTTAGCACACATTGTGAATATTGTAAAAAAACCATAAAACATTTGAAGGCTCATTTGTGAAGGTGGCTGTAATCAGCCGCAACAATCGCAATGACAAATATATATTAGAAATATTACACGTCACTAAATGTTCTTTAAGAACCCAAACGTCAACAATCCATTCCCCATTTTCCAATATCTCCTAAATAAAAATATTAAAAACAGCACTTAGATACTAAATCTATTTTATAGTTGAAAAATATTATTATTATATTATTATTATTATAAATTCCAAACAACAAACTTCAATAGTAAAAAATTTAGTACTGCCATTGGAGAAAATTCACCGTTTCTCGGTCAAATAAAAGAAATAGATCCAGAGAATCCAGAGAATCCAATCCAATGACGTTAAACAAACAAAGCTACAAAATTACTGGCTTAGTCAAATAACAACCAACAATACATTATGATCCTGAAGAAATAATAGCCACATATTTGTATTACAGACGTGGCAAACATAATTTCCTCTCTGAATTTGTAGGCAATGATTACGAAATGAAGATAATGAACAGCGATGAGGTCAAAACTTCATAAACAGATTTAAAAATTAAAAAGCACCAAC